GGTGTCCTTACCGGGACACGAACCGGCGATCTGCGAGGCAACGATGCTAACCACCGAAAAACCTTGCAGCCTCTATATATCAAATCTAAGCAAAAAATACTTAGTGTCATCTATATTTGAAAAATATAAAGGACGCAGAGAATATGCAAGATCTACAAACACAAAGTACATTCTTGTTTCTTCAAAATTTGCGCAAAAAGATATGCTTTTTTTTTTTTTTTTTAGAATTAATCATCAGTTAAATTTATTTAAACATGTAATTTGAAAGTACCTTAACTGTATAAATCTACATGCAACCATGTCTCGCCAAATTACGTGATTTGTATTTTCTGATGGATTATGTTTGTTTGTAATCTGTCCACAGATTAACATATCTTCATCATTTATATTACTGCTTCACCGCTGTTCCTTTTCCACCAATCAGTCATACATGAGACGGGGCGGGACTCTTCATCCTGGTAACCCAGTTAGAGGAGGAGAAGATTCAAACATGTTGTGAAAGGGTTCTTATTCTGAACCCAAACTACGATATTTTCCTGAACCGCATCAAGCATTTTGGTGCCAAGCTTCTAAAAAGTTATCTTTGCAAAAGTGTCAACTAAAGCGTGGTATTTTCCTAAAAATAGGCTAAACCTAGTCTCACATCGCCTGGCTGCACCTCATCATCATTCTGCTATAAGAGGGTAAACAAATGCTTTGGCTTGTTTGTATGCAATCAATCACAGTTGCGTTAAGTGGTGCTAAGCGCAGGATGCAGCGATGGTGCCCCTGCAAAATAGTGTTGGGGAGAACTGTTTTGGTGGAACATTTGCTTTAGGGAGGCGAACGCTGCCATTAAAATGTCTGAAACAAGTATATTTATGTCCAACTTGGTTGTGAAGATGCTCGAGCGTTAAAACTCTAAGAGTGTGTCGTAACTAGTGGGGTGCATCGCTGCATTTTCACCTCTGTTTTTTTAGTTTTTCTCAACAACTCACACATTTCCAAGGTATATTATTTTGTGCTTTGTGTGTAATGTGTAGTTTTAGCTTTGAATACTAAGAAGGTAATAATAAAATAGGCAAAGATGAACTGTCTGGATGACAGATGCTGGTCATGTCCGGCAATAATCTGAAATGCAACTATGGCCTCTCCCATGTTGTGGTTTATAAAGTAACCTGTTTTGCCATGTAGATTGCTGACTGTACAGAAGTCAAGGTCGGACAGATCGCTTTCTTGGGGAATTGAAAGTGAGCGTAAAGTACAGAATGCAAAACAGGAGCTGATAGTAAACCGTTAAGTAGAGCTGAAGTGACCTCCAGTTTGTGACACAGCTGATCTACTGTGGCTTACCTCCTTGTGTAAATGGCCGTATAATGAAGACAGATCCTGAAATTAAAAATGATAGCTGAGAGGAGAAAACGCACACACACAGTTTTGTGTTGTTGTCGCTGCAGTGATTAGAAGAAATGTTGAAAATACCCAGCCTGCCTATAAAATCCATACAGTGAGAATCAATAAAAATGATATTATTTAAGGCAATAAGTCTTTGGAAACACCTTTAATAGCTTCAGTAGTCACTGCTCGAGTGGTTTTACATCGTCGCCTCAATAATGCAGCGACACAATCCAGACTGTGGTAATTAGAGAAACTTGTCCAAATAGGAAAAGTGCCAAATCTGCAGCAGTCCTCATTGACCCCTCTCAGCTTGGAGAGCTCTTCATCTTCAGAGGGCTGTGTAAATGTTCACTCTGCATTTGACTCACTGCTTCCCTTTCTAGCACTCTTCCCTTCCTCTAAGAGACTAATCTGAGCCTGTGCTTCTCAAGGTTTTCTCTTCACTGAGGTTGACTTGAATGC